TTAAATGATATATAGAAAGGGGCATTGTGTTTTTGACTGTGAAAGATGGAAGCTGAAGCTTCACATGATAGAGCTTGATTGTTAGAATTACAGATATTCATTGTTAATTCCTTTGAAAGCACACTTTTTCCCTCCACTGAGCCCATCTCTACTATTTATATATTTAATGGTCCTTGGTTATACTAGATTCTGCTGTAAACCAGCAGTTACCACTGGTTTATAAGATTAAAGTTTTTTTTTTCAGTGCTCTTTCATTTTAGTATTACAAACACATCCTTCCACAGGCTTATTCACAGGCTTAGGAGCATAAACCTCAGTATCTTCTGTTGGTTCAGGAGTCCTGGTATCATTGACTTTCAAGCCTTTTTATTTTTTTAATTTTAGTATTTATTTTATTATTTTTTTGGAGACAGAGTCTCATTCCATCTCACTCTGTGCCATGGTGTCATCATAGCTCACAGCAACCTCCAACTCTTGGGCTGAAGCCATCTTCTTGCTCAGTTCTTCTATTTTTAGTAGAAATGGGGTCTTGCTTTTGCTCAAGGTTGTGCTTGAACTCGTGAGCTCAAGCAGTCCATCTGCCTCGGCCTCCCAGAGTGCTGGGATTACAGGTATGAGCTACCACGCCTGGCTCACAACAGTCTTATAGACAGGAACTTTCATTCCCATTTTGTAGATGAAATAGCTAAGGCTTAGAAAAGTTGTTTCATTAGTCACAGAGCTAGTGAATGTTGCTGCTATACTTTGAATCCAGGAAATCTGAATTCAGAGCCAGTCTCTTAACTACTGTTGTAGCTAGTTATGTTGATAAATCAGAAATAGTAGGAGTTGAGAGTTTCATAGACAGAAGTAAAAATAGCCTTTAATGAGGGAGAATATCTAGGTTAGTTAAATATCAAAATTTTTGCTCTGATACAGTGAAAAATGCAGAGTAGATAAGAGTATGATATTTCAAAATTTGAGACAAGTCTTTTTTAAAATCATTCATTTTAGAAGACTTTAAAAGTATTCTTAAATGAGATTGTGTTATTTATATGGACTTACATGTTTGGATCCTGAGTGTTCTGTTTTTTAACTTTTTTCAAGGTATTTGAACTCTCTGTGTGCCTATGATTCCTTATCTGTAAAATAAACTTAATAGCTTCTTAATAGATTTAAAGCACTTAGAATCGTAGTAAATGACATGTAAGTTTAGGTGGTATCACTATTATTTATTCTGTATGTATTATACCATGTGGTCATCGTTCTATATTTGTGAATACCTTTCAATGATGGGAAATTAAGTCTGCTTATTTTAAAATCTCAAAATATTATAGGGGTACAAGTATTTTTGGTTATGTGTATTGATTTTGTTATGCTTTAGTCGGGGTTGTAAGCCTGCCTATTACCCAGATAGTGTTCATTGCACTTGTTAGGTTTTTACTCCCCCTCCCCCGCTGCTTGATTTCCACTGAGCTTTGTTTACTGTTCTCTGTGCATGTGTGAGTTTATTGGTTGGTTCCAATTTATTAGTGAGTATATGTGGTGTTTGTCCTTTCTTTAGATACTTCATTTAGCATAATGGTCTCAAGTTCCATCCAAATCTTTGCAAACTAGGAAAGTTTCATGTCTGAGTGGTATTCCATAGTATACATATATTTTGTTGGTCTACTCATGAATTGCTGGGTACTTGGATTGATTTCATATCTTTGCAATGGTGAATTATGTTGCAATAAACATTTGAGTGCAGGTGTCTTTTTGATAAAATGATGGCCTTACCTTTGGGTAGATACACAGTAGGGGAATTGCTGGATCAATCATAGGCCCACTTCTATTTTATTGAGTAGTCTCTATACTGTCTTCTATAGAGGTTGTACTAACTTGCAGCCTTACCAACAGTATATAGTGTTCCTTTCTGTATTTGTGCCGGCATCTGTTGTTTTTATACTTTTTAATAAAAGCCATTCTAACTGGGTAAGGTGATATATCTTTGTGGTTTTAATTTGCATTTCCCTGATAATTAGTAACATTGAGCATTTTTTCATGTTTATTGGCCATTTTTCATTCTTCTTTTGAAAAACTTCTGTTCAGGTGTTTTGCCCACTTTTTAATGGGGTTGTTTTTTTCCTTGCAAATTTGCTGGAGTTTGGGGGGGGAGATTCTGGTTATTAAACTGTTGTTAGATATATAGTTTGCAAATATTTTCTCCCATTCTGTAGGTTGTCTGTGTGCTCTATTGACTACATCCATAGCTGTGCAGCCACATTTTAATTTAATCAAATCCCATTTATTTATTTTTTTGTTGCTATGATTGCCCTTGGGGTCTTCTTCATAAATCCTTGGCCTAGGCCTATATCTAGGAGAGTTTTTCTAACATTTGCTTCTGGAATTCTTATAGTTTCATGATTTACATTTAAGTAATTTATCTGTCTTGAATTAATTTTTGAGAGTGGCGAGAGATAGGGATCCTGTTTCATTCTGCTGCATGTAGTTATCCAATTTTCCCAGCACCATTTATTGAATAGGGCTTCTTATCCCCAGTGTATATTGTCGGCTTTGTCAGAGGTCAGTTGGCTGTATGTGGGGGATGGGTTTTAAATCTGAGTTCTCTGTTTGTTCTGCTGGTCTGCTTTTGTGCTACAACCATGCTATTTTGTTTATTACAGCCTTACAGTATCGTTTGAATTCTGGTAATGTGATGCTTTCACATTCGGTATTTTTGTTTAACATTGGTTTCACTATTCAGGCTCTTTTCTAGTTCCAAATGAAGTATGAAATTATTTGTTCTAGATCTGTGAGATATGACATTGGTATTTTGATGGGATTTGCATAGAATCTGTAAATCACTTTGGGTAGTATGGACATTTTAATGACGTTGATTCTACTGATACATGGACACGATGTTTTTCCTTTCATTTGTGTTAGCTGTGATTTCTTTCCTTAGTGTTTTTTTGCAGTTCTCTTTGTAGAGATCTTTCACCTCCTTGGTTAAGTGTATTCCTACATATTTTACTTTCTTTGTAGTTATTATAAATAGTATTGAATCTTTGATTTGACTCTCAGCTTGACTGTTATTGGTAATAGGAATGCTGTTGATTTGAACACGTTGATTTTGTTGAATTTATCAATTCCAGAAGTCTCTTGGTAGACTTTGGGGTTTTCTAGATATAAGATCATATTCTCACCAGTTCTAGTTTTTGATTCTAATTCTACTCCCTGTCTTTCCCTAATCTTGTTTTTCTTTTGCATCCTTTTTCTTAACTGCTTATTTTTGTCTTCTTTCATACTTTATATAAATTGTAAGCCAACTCTAACATTCTTTGAAATAAGGCAAGGTATACATACATACATGTACATCTTTGTTCTAGGAATTTATCACTGTTAATTTTATGGGCATTTTCTTAGCCACCAACATGTCCTAGTTGGTAGAACAGTAATTTCTATAGACCTGAATGTATTTAATATTTTGGATTTTTTCAGCCATGAGAAAGAATGAAATCCTACCATTTGCAATAACATGGGTGAAACTGGAGAACATTATGTTAAGTGAAATAAGGCAAGCATGGAAAGACAGTATTTTGTATATTTTCACTCTTACATGGGAGATAAAAATTAAAACAATTGATCTCATGGAGACAGAGTAGGACAGTGTTTACTAGAGGCTAGGAAGAGAAATGGGGGATAAAGTAGGGATGATTTAGGGCAGCAAAAATATAGTTAGATGAATTGAACATGTTCTAATATTTGATAGCAGTACAGGGTGACTGTAGTCAACAGTAACTTGTATATTTAAAATAACTAGAAGAGTAGAATTAGGATATTTTCAACACAAGAAAGTGATAGGTGCTTGGGGTGATGGATACTCTAGTTACTCTGATTTGATTATTATACATCATATGCCTGTTTGAAAACATCACACGGACTTCATAAATATATATAACTATTATGTACTCCTAATAATTAAAAATTTGAGGCAAGAGAATTGCCTAAGCCCAAGAGCTAGAAGTTGCTGTGAGCTGTGATGCCATAGCACTCTACTGAGGACAACAAAGTGAGACTCTGTCTCCTAAAAAAAAAAAAAATTAAAATATTTATTGAAAGAACAAATGGGAAGATGACTTCACATTTTTCAAGTGTTTTATATATAGTTATCATTTTATTTCTAAATTATCCATTATCTAGACTGAAAAGTTATCTGGTTTGTTAAGTGTTCTTTTTAAGAATGATGGTTATAACTGAATATAGTAGTTCATATGTGATTTTTATCAACAGAGAGTATAAGAGTAGTATTATATTATTTTATCTTATGTGTATTTGTTTATCACAGTGCTAAATTGTCATTTGGGAGAGACAGCACTACTTTGGCCTCATTTGACATAATGTCAAAGTCAAATATGTCAAATGAACTTTCTTTATCCAATTTACTTTGTATTTATGCTTTTATGAAAACATATTACAAGACCTTACATATTTTTCTTTTAAACTTATTTTGAAACATTCATTCCATAATTTCATCATTTATTGTAAATTTTTGTAAATATCAATTTCATATTTCTTCATCTTCCGTATATAGAGATTAGACTCAGTTACATCTCTTTCTGCCTGTAAGTCTAGTGAAAAGTCTATATGAAAAAAGAAAATGAATTTTATGTCTTAAAATTTATCCTTAGTGAGCACTGTATTTTCTGTTGAAAATGATAAAACCTTTCCTTTTAGGAATTTATCCTGAATTCCACCCAGTTATCACATGCTATCGTGTGTGTTTTCTTCTAGATTTGCAATCACCTTTTTCCATCTGTGTAAAAATTGCATTTCTGTTTTGCCAGTTTCAGTTCTTACAGTGCTTTTCACTCACCTATAGCTCTTCAACTTTTGGTCAAAATTAGTTCTATATCAGGTGACTTTGAGAATTTTTAGAGTAGCTATGCTTTCTTGCTAGTTGAAGTTTTGGTATTATTTTATTTCATAGTTATAAATAACTTCACAGTTATTGCTATTTGTTTCTTTTTGCTTATTTTCAGCTGGTTGGTGGAGAATTTGACTTGGAGATGAACTTTATTATCCAGGATGCTGAGAGTATAACTTGCATGACAGAGCTATTGGAGCACTGTGACGTGACATGTCAAGCAGAAATATGGAGCATGTTTACAGCCATTCTGCGGAAAAGTGTTCGTAATTTACAGACTAGCACAGAAGTTGGGCTAATTGAACAAGTGTTGCTGAAAATGAGTGCTGTGGATGACATGATAGCAGGTATGGGTTATCTGACAGGGAAGTATATTTAAAAAGGTTATAAGGCGTCATGTACCTCTCTTTGTATCCTGTAGGTAATGTAGATTTATTGAAACAGCCTTGGTTTAAAATAAATAGAAATATATGGACATTTTTCCTTTTATATAAATAGAAAACCTAAAAAGGGAAGAAGCCAAATATAAGGACTGTATTACACTAACATAATTATTAATTTTGCTTTTCTGATTTTAGAAAACCTAAGCAAGTGCTTAGGTACTGTGAAATTTTTCACAAAAATAAATCCAATATCTTTTTCTGTAATATTTAATTAAACCTTTACATAATTAAAATATCACAGTACATACTACCATTCTGTATAATAAGCCAAAATTCTCCTAAGTCTATGCCTTTCAATCTGGCAGTAATGGTACTATGACACAGGAAGTGACAAAACCTGAGAGTAAGCATGGTGTCTTGGTGCTGATAGCCAGGAGGCTCCAGCAGAGGGATTGTCAATGTAAAAGTGTTTTCATAGTTCTACAAGTGCTAATATTACACTTCAGAATATCATATCTGATTCTTAAAAGTAGTTTAGACACCAGAGAATACTATTTAATATTTTGACTTATACATTTAATTAATTTAGAAATATATGGAATGAAATTCTAAACAAAAAAGAATGAAATGAATGGGTTAAAGAATAATTCTCTTAAAAAATTGATTTTCTTAGAGTATATTTGATTATTTCTAATTATTTTCAAGGTGGCTTGTGCCTCTTTTAAAAATGATTTGTTGTTTTTCTATTGGATACTAGTGGCTAAATTGACTAAAAATGAAATTCAGACTTAACACATCTTTAAATACCTTTTTATTGAAGATATGGTATCATTTCTATAAATTCTAGAGTTAACAGAAATTTGTTTGTATAAACTTTATATGTATACCTGATATATAAAACATCATATGATCTTTCAATTCTTAAACCTTACTTTCTTTTTTTTTCCTCCATTTTTTTGAATAAAGTGATTGCCACTCAAGGGTGTCCAATCTTTTTTCTCCTGTGCCACATATTGGAAGAAGATGGCTTGTCTTTGGCCACACACTAAATATACAAACACTAACAAAAGCTGATGAGCAAAATATAAACAAGGTCTGTTCATAATTCTTATGATACCTGCCACCAAAGATAAGCAAAAAGTCCTTACATAATCCGTATATGGCCCATGGGCTGCAGGTTGGACACCCTAGAAGAGAATGAGCCAAATTATATGCATGGTAGTCTACTGGCACTGGGATGTAAAGTCACAGGGTGATAGTAACATAACAATTCATATTATGAGATTTTTAACATATAAAGCTCCTTAATTCTCTTTTTCTTAAGTAACAATAATATTGATAAAGCAGAATTTTTACCTTTTGTAAATTTTAAGCATTTCTCTTCAAAAGAGACTGCTAATGGAAGTATATGAGAAAAAAGAATATCAGAAAAATATCTCTATCTTCTTAATAGAGAAATTAATTTAAATCTCCTACTAAGGAAGAAGCAATAGCCACCAAACAATAATAGATTCTGAATGTCTTGTGGTATGTTAAGTTCAAAGAGCTATTTTTCATTTAATTATGTATTAGTAGTATCACTACAGGGTGGTTAAACATTTGTTGTAAATTGATAAGAGAATTTATAATCTTAGTATTTCTTTTCGTTTAAATATTCTGTTGTCCAGAAAAGAAGACCTTCTATAATAAAATTATACTGAGCTGCTTGGTTGTGTTACATATACAATAAATAAGGGACTTAAAGCATTTTATAGTTAAATATAAATTTATCCTAGCACTCTGGGACGTCGAGGCAGGCGGATTCCCTGAGCTCATAGGTTGGAGACCAGCCTAAGCAAGAGTGAGACCCTGTCTCTAAAAATAGCCGAGAGTTTTAGGCTGCGCTTGTACTCTCAGCTACTTGGGAACCTGAGGAAAGATGATTGCTTGAGCCCAAGAGTTTGAGGTTGCTGTGAGCTATGATGTCACAACACTCTACCCAGGGCAACAAAGTGAGACTCTGTCTCAATAAATAAATAAATAAGTGTATATGTATATAAATTTAATAGATGACTTTTTGTTATAATTTTTTTTCTTAGTCTTAGTGCTGATAAGGTCATATTTTTTGTGCCATCCACAGGAAATGAGATAAGGCTTTCAAATAGAAATTCAGTTTTTTAAAAAACAGTTTATGTAATCCTTTAAGAAATTTTTGTAAAGCTTGCCATTGCAGCAGTTAGCTTAAAAATGTTTTATATTAGCTATAGGGCTTTTATGGTAACTGATTTTTACCTAGCATTTTTTTCTTAGAAAGAGACCTTCTGACTTCCATGTTCTAACATTTTTATATATTTTTATTACTTGAATGATGAAAGATTTTGTTATAAGGTTATTCTGAAAAATGCCATATCCACTGAGATTGATTGCTTATTGTGATGTTAGGTAAGAATCAAGTGATTATTTATTGATGAAAATAACCATATTGAATTTCCATTTTTTGAAATATGCAAATAATAATTTTAAAGGTTCATGTTTTAATCATTAATCTGGGTATTGAATGATAGTATGTCAATAGCTAGTTATTTTAACTTACACTAATCTAACCCTTTTTTAAAGTGATGATGAACTTTTAGAATATATATGTTTTTAATAACTTGTACATTTAATTCTTAAGTGCTTTACAAATTGAGAAAATGAAATATAAATACTTAGATATTTCATTTTTAAGAATAACAGCTGATAAAAGTATTAACCTGTAGAGAAAGTAATGAGAGATGAGGAATTAAATGTATAATTTTTCTCATTATTGGTAAGCTGGTGAGTTCTGTTTCATGCACATGAACATACTAGCGTGATAGATAGTACTGCATTTAAACTACACTTCCACTTATAGACTACTGAGTAGGAGTGAGGGTTCTGGAACACTACTGCCTGGGCTTGAATCCTGACTTGAGTACTTGCTAGGTATGTGTTCTTGGGCAATGTGAATAAATTATCTATGCTACAAATAGCTCATTTTAAAGGGGATAATAATGGTAACCACATCATAGGCTTATTGTGACTATTTGTGAAATTAATACATGTAAACCACTTAGAACAGTGGTTCTCAACCTTCCTAATGCCTCCTAATGCCATTACTCTTTAATACAGTTCTTCTTGTTGTGGTGACCCCAACCATAAAATTATATTTGTTGCTACTTCATAACTGTAATTTTGCTACTGTTATGAATTGTAATGTAAATATCTCATGTTCAGGATATATTTTCATTGTTACTAAGGGGTCCCAGCCCACAAGTTGAGAACTGCTGACTTAGAATAATGCCCTACATGGAGTAAGTGCACAAAATGATTATTAATGGGTCAAGGAATATTTCAAGAATATATTTTATTAAGAATAGATAATTCTAGAGAAAATATTGTCAACTATCACTTTTAATTTGTAAATAACTGATTTTCAATGTTATATCTTTGTGCCTTTGCATATTTTTACCACCCTTTGTTTTTCTGAATACAAAGGAGTGTGTAGTGTATGTGTATTCTGGGAATATATACAATCTATTTTGTGTATCTACTAAGAAAGCCTAATTGAAATGGCAAGTCTGATGGGGAAGATCCTATAATCAAACAACTCTCTTTGATTATCTGAGGATTTAAAATTGTTAAGTAGAATGGCTATTGATGAGGACATTTAGCTATATTAGACATATGTGCATGACAATTGATAACTTTTTATCTTGCAAACAGTATATTACCTTGACAGATGGCAGCTTATGACTAGAGTTCAGAATAACTTTATTTTCCTTTGAAGATCTTCTAGTTGATATGTTGGGGGTTCTTGCCAGCTACAGCATCACTGTCAAGGAGTTGAAGCTTTTGTTCAGCATGCTTCGAGGAGAAAGTGGAATCTGGGTAAGCTGTGGTCAGAGGGAGAAGTATTCAGTGTCAGTCCATTAATACTTAATGTTCAAGAATTTGTCTCTAGAGAGCTATATACTTTAATGAAAATGGTTTCTTCTTAAATGCCTTAGTAAATATTTAGTAGATGATTTCAAATTAATTTTCTTTCTAGTTAGAAAATAGTTCAGTGGCTAGTGTGGTATGTTAAGTATTAATGCCAAATTTATACAGTGACTTTTTTTTCTTTTATTGTTTCCTCAGCCAAGACATGCAGTAAAATTATTATCAGTTCTTAATCAGATGCCCCAAAGGCACGGGCCTGATACTTTTTTCAATTTCCCTGGTTGTAGTGCTGCGGTAAGTTTTAAATACATGTGTTTATTTTTTATTGACTTATTTTTAGGTTTGCTCCATAAAGGTATGATTTATAGGTAATGAAATTCATCAACTTATAAAGTAGAATTTGATGAGTTTTGAGTAGTTATGTAACCACCACCATAATAATGATTTAGCACATCCATCACACTGATTCCCTTGTGCTTGTTTGAAGCCAACCCCCTCCCCAGCCCCTGTTCCTTGCAACTTCTGTTTTATTTTGTGTTCCTATAGGTTTTAGATTGTTGTATAATTAAAATCATACAGTATGTTGTCTTTTGTGTTAGGCTTCTTTCACTTACCATAATGCTTTTGGGATTTTCTGTATTGTAATTTTAATCAGTAATTTATTCTGTCCTTTTTATTTAAGTAGTTCTCCATTTTATGAATAGGCATTATATCTATTCACTAGTTGATGAACATTTGGGTTTCTAGTTTTTGGCTATCTTAAATAAAACTACATGAACCTTTGAGCACAGATCTTTCTTTAAGCATATGTATTCTCTCTCTCCTTTTTTTTGTTTTTAACCAAATGTATTTTTATTCAGTATTTTAAAAATACAGACTTTGTGGCAACTTATAAATTTCTAGTATAATAATACATTGATACTTAGAACCAAGAAAATAATATAACCAAAATTCATTTCTAAAAACAAGCAGTACCCTTCCTTAGGGGTAGTTTTCATTTATGTATAATTTTGCTTTTAATAAGATGATTGTTACAATCAGATATGTAACCACTTAGGTACCTCTATAAGTTCTATCTGTTAAAAATACATTCTTTTAGAAAATCCAATTTAATCATCTCATTCTTTATTCAGTAATTTTCTCCTGATAGAAGTACTCTTTGATGGAGAGAATGCAGAAAACTGTTTTTGAGTATCCCCAGATCATGTATCTATAATAACAGTTTGGTTCTGAGGAGCTGAGCTCTAATTAGTGAAGTAGGCCCAGTTTAGAAAGTGGCAATAAAGTGGTGACTAACAGTTGTACCAGTCATTATCAACAGTGAACAATTTTAGGGAACTTTGTTTTGCGTTTCTGTGGTTTAGGTGCCTCCAAAATTTCTTCATAGTCTGCACTCATTCCCTTTACCCAGCTAACAATGATGACCATTTGATCTGAATTCTGACTTTCAGGGAAATCTTTCTTTAAGTGTTTCAGAGAGCCACAAAGTTTGCAACCACTACCATCAGCATAGAGTCCTTCTGGATTATCAGGACAAGATCTAGACAGGTATCCCATTTCCCCACAAATAAAATATTTTGCTAAAGGAAATTCACCAACAGCTGGGTCTACTTTAGCCTTACAATTAGTTATTTCATGCTTTATGGACCCACACTGGTAACATACTGTACTGCCCAGATCTTGATTTTCAAGGGCAACGGGGCAATCTGCAATTCTATGACCAGGTTTTCTACGGTGGAAACATACCATTGCATTTTTCTTTGCTGCTTGTCTTTTTAATCATCTTCCTTCCCATTGACTGTCTTTCTTTAAAGCAACTGCAGTTTCTTCCCTTATTTCCTGAGTGTCTGTTGCTATAAGCTCCCCATTGAGAACCATCTGTGAGTTCTATTATAGGTATTCCATGAATTCATTCACATCTTCATTAAAGTATTCTTTTTCTTTTTGTTCTTTATATGTTTTGCTTGGGATACATCATTTTTAAGGGATAGCCTATTGGTTTCACCTTGTTTATGCTTCGGTAGGTTTGGGCTTATTCCCTCAAAGGACTGTTCTTCATGTTGTCCCTTGAGATTGCAGAAAAGGGTCTCTTGTTATGTGTGGTAGTAATGCGTGCCCACGGAGTCATAGTTTCATCAGATGTACCTTAGGCATTTGCTCATGGGTCTTCCAGAGCAGCTCAAGCATATGTATTCTTGTCTGTGATTAAATAGTTGAGTGAGATTACTGGGTTTTCTGGTAATATATGTTTATCTTGATGAGAAACTGTCAAATCATTTTCCGTAATGGGAAATTTTGCATTTCCATCAGCAGTGTACAAAAGTCCAAGTTGATCTGCATCCTGGACATTTTCAGTCCTTTTAATTTGAGGCATTTAAGTGGTTACATTTAGTAGTCCCCCTTATATGTGGGGTAAATTCCAAGAACTCCCTCTAGTGGATGAGTGAAATCAGGTATAGAACTGAACCCTGTATATAGTGGAACCTCCATAGTCAACCACCTCCTTAAGTTGACCTAATTTTCATAGGCCAGACATGTACCACATGTATCAGTACAGTAAGCCTAGTCTCCCAATGTTGACTACCTCCACATGTTGACCAGTTTGTTATATTCCCTTGTGTGGTCAACTTACAGAGGTTCTGTTATACAAGGTTGGACAGGTTCATGAACTAATCCTAGAAAAAGCACTACATATATCATTGCTGAATATCAGTACTGTTACCTTCCCGGTACTCCTGTTGGGAAGCTATGTACTGACACCTGTGCCTAGTCCACCCTGAAAAGCAGTTTTTAACTTTTTTCTGGAATGGCCATCAGAACTGTTCTATGAGGTCAGAAAATTAAGTTCGTGAACTCATCCTAGAAAAATTGCTACATACCTCATGTTAAATGTCACTACAGTCACCAAATGGCCAAGGGCAGTACTCTGAAGGTGACCATAATGTTATTTAGCAGTGAGGGATATAGCATTTTTTTCTAGGATGAGTTCATGAACTTAACTGTCCAACCTCATGTCTATTGTGTTTTCTTCTACCATTTCTTTTACATATGTACTTATGATAAAATTTAATTTATAAATTAAGCACAGTAAGAGATTAGTAAACAGTAACAATAAAGTGGAACAGTTATGTGAATGTGGTCTCTCTTCTGAAATATTTTATTGTACTGTACTTGACTGTGGGTAACTGAAGCACAAAACTGTAAATAAAGGGGAACTCCTGTTACAGGTCCTCATTGTGGTTTTAATTTTGCATTTCTCTCTCATGATTTATGATGTTGAATATTTTTTCACATGTTTATTGACCATTCTTAATTTTTTCTGTGATGTTTGTGTTCAAATATTCTGTTCATTAAAAAAATTATCTTATTATCCTACGACTTCATTAAATATTTAGAATGTCAGTTTATTTGATAAATTTCCCTTTTTAAAAAATTAAGAAAAGCTATAGTGTTTGAAATTTAAAGTGCTGAATTAATTGCTTAAATATGAAAATCTGAAAGGATATTGTACTGGAAATTTTTACACATTTGTAGTATTTGTATGTGTGTGCACAGTGCATTTAGACCAGGCGTACTCAAACTATGGCCCGCAGGCCACATGCGGCCCGCTGAGGACATTTATCTGGCCCACTGAGTGTTTTTGCTGCCACTGCCTGTTCTGCTTAGCAGCCGACTCATCCTGGGGCCCGTAGTCCGTCCCTCCAATGGTCTGAGGGACAGTGAATTGGCCTCCTGTTTAAAAAGTTTGAGGACCCCTGATTTAGACAGTAAGCACTTATACATCTTTGGCCACTTTGAGATTATTCATTTACTATATATTGAGTGTTTTTTATGTCTTACATCAATTTTAGGGAACCCAGACTATATTATCTTCAACTCTAGTGGATAGACATGTAAAAACATCTTGTTCACAGTAAGACTTAGATGCTGTAGATTGAGAGCTATGGGAAAACAATGCAAAGGAACTGAGCTGGGTTAAAGCCTAGAAAGGTTTACAGATGAGGAGCATTATTTTGTTTTTAAGGAATATTTGGGATTTTGCTGGAAGGAAAAGTGTTTTGGACAGAAGCATCATGGGAACTTACTGTTTTAGTGGAATTGGACTTCTAGGAAAACAAATGAATCCACTCAGATTTTCTTAAAATCAAGTAATCAACAATTTTCTCATTTAGTTTTTTGTATGGCTAGGTTTTATTTGATTTCTGTTATCAATGGAATCCTATATTATTCCTTTCCTCCTTCTAAGTGGATCTGAATTCTTTTTTGGTTATAAATTTCAGTGATTAAGTTTCTGAATAATAAATCTCATGCTTTCTCCCCTCCTTTGCTTAAGTGTTACAAACATTATGAGTATTTATTTACAATCTCTAGTACAGTTGTTTTTGGCCCTAAAGATCAAACCTCTTTTGGTCAGATGAATTATTACTGAAAATCTAGCATAAATCATTGTAAACTGAAATTCTGAGGCATATGTATAAGGGCCTGTATAGTGGTAAAACTAGAGGGGTGCTTATTGGAGTGTAATCAGAAATACTGTTTGTAACCTACAGGTGAACATTATCATTGAGTATTTGAAAATTCACCATTTCTATAGCCAACAAATAATATGTATAGATGTATAAGATAGAGTTTTATTTTATGTATCTATTAGTAATTTTCTGATATTTTTGATCTGGAAAAGCCATTTTTGATGTTAGCTACTATCATGTTTTCTTTAACTGATGCTTTTGTACCTGTTTTCATTGCCTTGTAGGCAATCGCATTGCCCCCTATTGCAAAGTGGCCTTATCAGAATGGCTTCACCCTAAACACTTGGTTTCGTATGGATCCATTAAATAACATTAATGTTGATAAGGACAAACCTTATCTTTATTGGTGAGTAATATGTGTGATTTTAGGACTTTAAGTACTTCAGTTTTATAAAAGTATACATATAACATATAACAGGCAATGTATAAGATAGAATATATATTTGTAAAAGTATAAGGACACACCGATTTTATTTAGTTAGTTAGCTATTGATTCTAGGCAGTCTCTCTTGTCATTATTATTAATTTTTTTCAATTAAAATTTAATAGTCAAAGGTTACACACTTTCTCTCACAGTTTACTTCAATATAGATCAGTTGTAGGATTTTTAGTGAGTATTGCTAGTCCCTGATCGAGGAGAGAAAAAAAAAGTCTTTCCAGATTTCATTCACTTTGCCTTTTTACAGACCTTGTTCTAGGAACATAATTCACATATGCTTTTTAAAATACTGATAATAACTTCATAAGAAATTATAATCAGATAAGGTTATTTGGTATAGACAACTAGCAGAATGAGTTGATTGACTCAACAATAGGTTAATCTGTAAGGACTGAAAGCTTGGTAATTTTCGTATTCCAATAATGTACCGTGCACCATATTACTTATAAGATCATCAAACATTCATTGGTTGCATAACTGTATACTAGACATTATAAATACTTCTGTACCCTAATTTATTTAATGCTCGCAGTGTTCTGAAATAAGACTATCTGAGTTCAAGCGTTAATTTTACTATTCTATTTACTGCACATCTGGGCTTTGATGTCTTCATCTGTAAAATGAGGATAGTAATAGTATCTGTCCCATAGGATTTAATGAGATAATAATATTTAAAGTACGTTGAACAATGGCTGCCTCAGAAATGTGAGTGCAGAAAATTGTGAACTATTATTACCTTATTTGCTCTATTATAAAATGTTAAATACAGATAATAATGAGAGGGGGTTTAAAATAAGCATCTGAACTGTCAAACATACATGAGGTTGGACTAAAGAGTGGTCATTTAGGGGGAATCAGACATTAATTTCAGTGGCACCTTCACTTTTTAAAGTATTTAATTTTTTTTTTTTTTTTACATAGTGATGGAATTCATAGCTAGGAGTGAACCTCTAGAAGAAAGTAACTATATTTCATAGTTACAGATTTTACTTTTTAAACTAAAAATGTACTCCCTTGATTGACCAGCTGCGTTATCTATCAAACTTGGCTCTGACCAAGTTTTTTTTTTTTTTCAATTTGTAAGCTGTCTTCACTAACTATAGTAGAATTAGAGAGCAAGTTGTTTTTTAAGACATAAACTGTGTGTAAATGTGTTCTGTGTTTGCTGCTTGCAGAGGCTTGTTAGGGTAGATGAAGTCTACTTGGTCAGTTTTGTTACTCAATTTTTCTTATGCATTTGTGATATTTTAAGTTGAAATAGTAAAAATTTTCATAACCTTCTCTTCCTTCCCAGTTTAAATTTTGTATGTTTTAGTTATTCTAAACCTTTTATATTTTAGTTTAGTTTTTTTTTTGTTGTTGTTGTTCCATGTTAAACCCCTTCTACTCTACAGGGAAGTAGATTTTATTTTTATAATAATATTTCATGGGCATTAGACATATGGTTCTTTTTATCAGAGGATGTTAAACTATTTTCATTTTTCTTTACAGTTTTCGTACTAGTAAAGGAGTTGGTTACTCAGCTCATTTTGTTGGCAACTGTTTAATAGTCACATCACTAAAGTCCAAAGGAAAAGGTTTTCAGCACTGTGTGAAGTACGATTTTCAACCACGCAAGGTAGGTATAAGCAGATACCATGTATCTGTTGAGAATATCACAATTTGCCATTCCCACTTCTTTTTTCCATTCCCATTTTTTCTTCAAAATCACTTGTTACAACTTCTGTGATGTGCTCAGTCACTGCTTTTTCTATGACTCTTAATGCTTTTCTATTATCCTTGCCTGCTTTTTCTTTTCACTTTTTTTGTCTAACTTTTATCTTCTATAAGATCAATATTTTAACCTCATGTATTATATTTCTCTCACACGCTCATTGTCTCCTGGTCTGTTCTGTTCTATGGCATTTTTTTCAATAGATACTTATTGAGTATTTACTGAGTGCTAGACACCATTGTAGGTACTAGGGTTATTGCAGTGAACCAAACAAGACAGCAGTTCTACTTTTGTGGAGCTTGTTTGTATTGGAAGTTTTATTTGGTCTCATGGTAGCCTAATGCTCTATTCTTATCTTCAGAGCTCATTCTTCTATTTCCACTTGCCAATGAGAGGCGGCTATCTGGATGTCTTTCTTGTGCAAGGACCTTAGAATGTGTAACACCAAGTGTTCTATTTCCAGTCTCATATTTAGTCACATTTTCAAGTCCTTTATTTTGATTTAAGAAGTCTACCATCTTATAATAAGTGACACTTGAGCCAACTTTTTACAGTGATCAAAACTCTTTTTAATCAAGTCCTTTTTATCATATCTCTGAAATATATCTGTCTCTTTTTAAAAAATTCTTTACCTGCTGCTTAAATTCATGTTGCATTCTCCTTATTTTGTTTTATCCATTTCTTCCTCTTCCAAACTAATTTACATACTAGTATCTGATTTGTCTTCCTCAGTATATTCTATCACTCAGACCAACCATTTACTTCTTACTCACTACAAATAAATCCAAACTTTGTCCGCCATGATTTGGATGATTTGTTTTTTGTTTTACTTTTTTTTATCTTTCCTTCTGTAGTGTTCAGTGTACAGCATGAACTGCATTTACTTGTCCCTTCCCACACATCTCTAAGTCTTCAAATCCCACCACACTGTTATGTTCCATTTCATTTAGCACATTTCCCTGGAAGCCCCCTTGATTTTTCTTAGAGTACTTTATTTCAGGGTTTCTCATAACTATTTATTTTAAACCTGTGTTATTAATTTATATGTGTATTATTTAGTAATTATTGCAGCTAAGATCTGTGTTGGATTCATGTTTGTATTCCCTCATATGCCTGACAGAGTATTCATATTTGGTAGAGTGTCAAAAGATACATTGGATAAATGAATATAACATGACTTGAGCAATTGGAAGCCTTTTTGGTTCATAAAAGAGTAAGTTACATTTATCTAGGCAACTAACATACTACTTCCCAGGAGAGCAATATATGTGGGGTATTCCTATTGATAAAGTGAAAGGAGAAATGATGGGTCTTATGGCCAGCACACCTTTGATAGATAACAGTGCCAAGAACCTTTCCATATTGCAATAGGAAGCAAGGTAGTCAGGGCAATAAAGATCAAATAATTTGGGTTGCTGTAGTGTGGTACCCATTTGAAATATAAAACTTACTAACCTTTGTTTTATTTTTGTTCTGACAAAGGATATATATTGCAAAAATAAGTTAAGATTTAGTATTATACATAATTAGAACATTATACATGAACATTAGAAGAGATTTTGTACTTTTAAGAAAATGGTTTTCATAGGTTTTTGGGGTATTTTTGTTGTTGTTTGTTTTCATTTTTACTAAATCATAGCTGTTTACATTCATGCAGTTATGGGGTGTACAATGTGCTGGTTTTATATACAATTTGAAATACTTTCATCAAACTGGTTAACAATGTAGTCACTGAATTTTCTTAGTTATTGTGTTAAGACATTCATATTCTACACTTAGTAGATTTACCTTGTACCCTTGTAAAATGCACCGTAGATGTGGTCCCACCAATAACCCTCCCTCCTCCCACCTCTCCTTCTCTCTCTCTCCTCTTTCCCTTTCTTCTTAGGCTATAGTTCAGTTATAGCTTTCATATGAAAGTTTGGGTGTTTATAAATTGGTTTCATAGTAGGGCTGAGTACATTGGATACTTTTTCTTCCATTCTTGAGATACTTTACTAAGAAGAATATGTTCCAGCTCCAGACGTGTAAACATGAAAGAGGTAAAGTCTCTATCTTTTTTAAGGCTGCATAACATTCCATGGTACATATACCACAATTTATTAATTCATTCATGGGTCGATGGGCACTTGGGCTTTTTCCATGACTTAGCAATTATGAATTGGGCTGCAATAAACATTCTGGTGCAGATGTCTTTGTTATAAAGTGATTTGGGGTCTTCTGGATATATACCTAGTAGACGAATTGAAGGATCAAATGGCAGGTCTATTTTTAGATCCCTAAAGATTTCCAAACATCTTTCCAAAAAGGAACTTATTAGTTTGCATTCCCACCAGCAGTGCAGAAGTGTTCCCTTTTCTCCATATCCACACCAACATCTCTGGTTTTGGTATTTTATGATGTGGGCTAATCTTACTGGAGTTAGATGATATCTGAAAGTAGTTCTGATTTGCATTTCTCTGATGATGAAGGGTGATGAGCATTTTTCATGTGTCTGTAGGCTGTGCACCTGTCTTCTTCAGAGACGTTTCTATTCCAGGCCCTTGCCCACAATGAGATGGGATCACTTGTTCTTTTCTTGCTAATATGTTTGAGTTCTCTGTGAATTCTTGTTATTAATCCTTTGTCAGAGACATAACCTACAAATATCTTCTCCCATTCTGAGGGCTGTCTGCTTGCTTTACTTACTGTATTCTTGACTGTGCAGAAGCTTTTGAGTTTGATCCGATCCCAGTAATGTATTAATGGTATTTTTGGTGTTGCTTCAGTTGCTTGGGGGATTCTCCTCATATAATGTTCACCCAGACCGATTTCTTCAAGTGTTGTCTCTGCACTTTCTTCTAGTATTTTTATAGTTTCATGTCTTAAGTTTAAATCTTTAATCTAGTGAGAGTCTATCTTAGTTAGGGGTGAAAGCTGTGGGTCCAGTTTCAGTCTTCTACAGGTTGCCAGCCAATTCTCCCAGCATTTAACATTTGTTAAATAGGGAGTCTTTTCCTCACTGAATGTTTTTAATTGGCTTATCAAAGATCAAATAATGTTAAGTAGCTGGGTTCATCTCTTGGTTCTCTATTCTGTTCCATGCATCTACCTCTTTGTTTTTGTGCCAGTACCATGCAGTTTTGATCACTATGGATTTATACTATACTCTGAGGTCTGGTAGCATGATTCCTCCTGCTTTGTTTTTATTTATGAGTAATGTCTTGGCTATTTGAGGTTTTTTCCTGTTTCCATATAAAACAAGGCATTATTTTTTTGAGATCTTTAAAGTGTAACAGTGGAGCTTTAATAAGGATTGCATTAAAATTGTGTATTGCTTTGGGTAGTAAGGACATTTTAACAAGGTTGATTCTTCCCAGCCATGAGCATGGTATGTTTTTCCATTTGTTAACATGTTTAGCTATTTCTTTTCTTAAAGTTTCATAGTTCTCTTTATAGAGATCTTTCACATCCTTTGTTAGGTAAACTCCCAAATACTTCATATTCTTTTGCACTGCTGTGAACGGAATAGAATCCTTGACTGCTTTTTCAGCTTGGCTGCTGTTGGTATATATAAAGGCTACAGATTTATGAGTGTTGATTTTGTAACCTGAGATGCTGCTGTATTCCTTGATCACTTCTAAGAGTTTTGTAGAAGAGTCCCTGGTGTTTTCCAGATATACAATTATATCGTCTGCGAAGAGTGAAAGTCTGATCTCCTCTGACCGTAAATGGATACCCTTGATTGCCTTTTCTTGCCTGATTTCAATGGCTAAGACTTCCATTACAATGTTAAAAAGCAGTGGAGATGATGGGCAACCTTACCTGATTCTTAACCTGAGTGTAAATGACTTCAGTTTAACTCCATTCAAAACAATTTTGGCTGTGGGTTTGCTGTAGATGGCTTCTATCAGTTTAAGAAATGTCCCTTCTGTACCCATTTTCTTAAGTGTTCTGATCATTAAAGGATGGTGGATATTATCAAAAGGTTTTTCTGCATCAGTTGAGAGAATCATATGGTCTTTGTTTTTTATTTTATTTATGTGTTGAATTATATTTATAGATTTACATATATTGAACCAGCCTTGAGACCCTGGGATAAAACCCACTTGGTCATGGTGGTTAATTTGTTTGATGTATTGCTGGATTCTGTTTGCTAGGATCTTATGAATATTTTTGCATTAATATCAATTAGTGATATTGGTCTATAATTTTCTTTTCTTGTTGGGTATTTTGTGGTTTGGGTATCAAAGTGACATTTGCTTCATAGAATGTGTTGGGTAGTATTCCTTCTTTTTCTATATTTTGGAAAAGGTTAAATACTAGAGGTACTAGTTCCTCTTTAAATGTTTGGTAGAATTCTGATGTGAAGCCATCTGGTCCTGGGCTTTTCTTTTTAGGGAGATTTTGTATAGTTGATGCTATTTCAGAACTTGATATAGGCCTGTTCAACATTTCCACTTGATTCTGGCTAAGTCTTGGGAGGTGGCATGCTTCCAAATATTGGTCTGTTTCCTTCAGATTTTTGTATATCTGAGAATAGAGTTTCTTGTAATATTCATTAAGGATTTTTTTAATTTCTGTGGAGTCTGTTGTTATTTCATCATTTCCATTTTTGATTGATGAAATTAGAGATTTTATTCTTTTATTCCTGGTTAGGTTAGCCAAAGGTTTATCTATTTTATTCACCTTTTCAAAAAACCTAGTTTCTGATTTATTGATCTGTTGAATAGTCCTTTTGTTTTCATGATTCATTTAATTCTGCTCTAATTTTGGTTATTTATTTTCTTCTGCTGGGTTTGGGATTAGAATGTTCTTCCTTTTCTAGTTGCTTGAGATGTCCCATTAAGTTGTTAACTTCCTCTCTTTTCATTCTCTTGAAAAAGGCTTGCAGTGCTATAGATTTCCCTCTTAGGACTGCCTTT